GCCTGAGGAAGATGAGGAAGCTTGTACCCAATATCCCCTTCCAGATGCTCCTCCGTGGTGCCAACGGTGTTGCGTACTCTTCCCTCCCTGATAACGCCATCTACCACTTCTGTGAGCAAGCAAAGAAGAACGGAGTCGATATCTTCCGTGTTTTCGATGCTTTGAACGATGTTGAGCAGCTCGAGGTTGGTATCAAGGCTGTTCTCAAGGCTGGTGGTGTTGTTGAGGGTACCGTGTGTTACTCCGGAGATAGTGAGTCGAACAATTTTGGTTATTGGGAGACGTGACTGACTCCTCGGTAGTGCTTAACCCCAAGAAAAAGTACAACCTCGAGTACTACGTTAGCGTGGTCGACAAGATCGTCAGCATGGGCGCACATATTCTTGGAATTAAGGATAGTGAGTTGACTCCCATCACGAATATATTTGTTGTTACTGACTATTTATAGTGGCTGGTGTTCTGAAGCCTCGTGCTGCCCGCCTTCTCATCGGTACCATCCGCGAGAAGTACCCCGACCTCCCCATCCACGTCCACACACACGACTCCGCTGGTACTGGTGTGGCCTCCATGGTTGCTTGTGCCGAGGCGGGTGCAGATGCTGTCGATGCCGCGATCGACAGCATGTCCGGCATGACCTCGCAGCCAAGCTTGGGTGCCATTCTCGCATCCCTGGAGGGTACCGACTTTGACTCTGGCCTCGATGTGCACATGATCCGCAACCTGGACGCATACTGGGCCCAGCTGCGTCTTCTCTACTCTCCATTCGAGGCTGGTCTTACCGGTCCCGACCCTGAAGTGTACGAGCACGAAATCCCAGGTGGTCAACTCACCAACCTCATTTTCCAAGCATCTCAACAGGGTCTTGGTGAGCAGTGGGCACAGACAAAGAAGGCTTACGAACAGGCCAACGACCTACTTGGCGACATCGTCAAGGTTACACCTACCTCGAAGGTCGTTGGCGACCTGGCTCAATTTATGGTCTCCAATAAGCTTTCTTACGACGATGTGCTGTCGAAGGCTGAGCAATTGGACTTCCCCTCATCTGTCTTGGAATTCTTCGAGGGACTAATGGGCCAGCCATACGGTGGCTTCCCTGAGCCTCTTCGATCGCACGCTCTCCGTGAGCGCAGGAAGATGGACAAGCGTCCTGGTCTCTATCTCGACCCCGTTGATATCGCCAAGGTCAAGGCGGATCTGAAGTCCAAGTGGGGCGATGCGACCGAGTGTGACGTTGCGTCCTCCATCATGTATCCCAAGGTCTTCGAGGACTACAAGAAGTGGACCAGCAAGTATGGTGACCTCTCTGTGCTGCCAACTCGCTACTTCTTGTCGCGCCCTGAGATTGGTGAGGAGTTCCACGTCGAGCTCGAGAAGGGCAAGGTCCTCATTCTTAAGCTCCTTGCTATCGGCCCGCTGTCCGAGCAGACTGGTCTCCGCGAGGTCTTCTACGAGATGAACGGTGAGACACGTACTGTGACAGTCGAGGATCAGCACGCCGCCATAGAGAACGTTTCGCGACCAAAGGCCGACCCCACCGATAGTTCACAAGTCGGTTCGCCTATGTCTGGTGTCTTGGTTGAGGTTCGTGTACATGACGGCAGTGACGTCAAGAAGGGTGACCCTGTTGCTATCCTGAGCGCCATGAAGATGGTAAGTCACTTCACATACAAAATGAGATTTGGAACCATGCTAACAAATTTGATAGGAGATGGTCATCTCTGCTCCTCACTCTGGAAAGGTCAGCAACCTCTCGGTCCGCGAGGGCGATTCGGTCGACTCTGGCGATCTCGTCTGCAAGCTTGTCAAGTGAGCGTGACGCAGATACTTGCTTGAAACGATACCTAATTGCTAGTACTGGGAAATGGAGTCGACTGGTAGCGCCGAATGGTTGCTTGTGGCCCAAGAAGATGAAAATTGACGCAATAAGATGATGCCTGAACACGATGATTTTTTTACTATGGCTCCCTACGTAGAATCTGATATGAGTATGGGTAGATACAGTAAATGACAGTACATGATGACAACTTGGCGTCTATATGAAGAGGACCAGAATTCATCTTGACGAAATTGATTCTGATCGAAGCCAAACTATATGCAAGTGGCGGTGACTCTGCGCTAATCATATAAGACTCTATATGGCTTTTGTCATGCATTTCTGCGCTACCATGCTGCAAGCAAAGCCCAATGTGCCGTCAGCTTCGCCTTCTACGCGCGTTCGATTCATGGAACGCCAAACACTCCCAATGCAAGCCCTGTCTACCCGACCAAACGCCTAGACACCATGCTTCCGCTTAAGATCCCATACTACCTCACCTCAACCCATGGCCCCGAAATCCAACTTCCTAGCCACTTTATCCGCCCTCCCATTCGCGGGCGTCTCGCCTCCTTTCCTCTTCAAGTCCTCGCCAACCTTGGCCTCCCCACCCCCCTGTCGCGGTAGATTCTCCTTCTTGGTCGGACGCGGCATATTAGTCCAATATCTATGCTCGAGGGCCTGTCTGGCCGTGAGTCTCTTCTTCGGATCCATCGTGAGCATGCCCCTCATTAAATCGACGCCATCCTCACCTAGCAGCGGAAACATGCTGCGCCACCAGGACAGGGGCTTTCCCATTTTCGCGGCTGTGCTGCCTTTTGCGATGCCGGGCTGTTTCTCGGGCGCGACGTAGTATCGTAGCGACGAGACGCCGGGCCAAACGTCTTCAGTGGGCGTGCCGAAGTGATCGCATATCATGGCGAGTTGGCCAATGTCCGTCTCAGCAGGGAGGAAGAAGTTGCGTAATGCGACTTCGGCGATCACGCAGCCTACGCTCCACATATCGACTGCGCCGGCATAGTGGTAGCATCCATAGAGCAACTCTGGAGGCCGGTAGTAACGTGTGATTACGTTCGCGGTCATATGCCGCCCAGGATCGGAAAAGGAGCGCGCGAGACCGAAATCAGCAAGCTTCACGGTCCCATCGGCAGCGATGAGCAAATTGTTCCCCTTGATATCGCGGTGGAGAACGTAGTTTTCGTGACAGAACCAGATGGCTTGGCAGAGCATGTTTGCCCATGCTTTGATATCTGCTCCGGCGTATGTTATGCTTCGGTTCTTCCATAGACCTTCAAGATCGCCGAGAGGGAGGTGTTCAAGGACGAGAGAGAGGTTTTGGTCCTTTGTGGAGAAGACTGCGTGCAGTTTGATGATGTTGGGGTGCGAGAGCTCGGAGAGGAATTTGATTTCGCGGATGGCGTCCATGGCGATGCCGTCTTTGAACTCAGCGTTGAGCTTGATTCTCTTGATGGCGACGAGCGCGGAAGGGTCGTTTCGATAGTGACCCGCGTAGACGTTGGCGTAGGTTCCTTCTCCGAGCTTCTTTCCGCTGACGAATTGCTGTCGTACATCGTCGTTCATTTGCTCTGCGAGGTCGAGACCGCCATCGGTGGATGTACTCGCAACAGGTGCGACAGCTGGAGAGCGCGCGGCTTTGTTGCTGGCATTGAGGATCGCGAGAGCTTTGGTCTTGCTCGGAATGGCGGCTGGTCTTGAGCCCGGCGGGTTAGGCCTTGGGCTAAGGGCTACAGGAGAGGCAGCCATGGTGAGGTTTGCGATACTTGGTAGGAAGGGTGAGGTATGCGCGCTGGTGAGTTCAAGGTGCGGCGCAAGGAGGTTCTATGGCGAAGAGATGGTCGATTGTCGAAAAACAACCACTCTTCATGGTCGCCTAAGTCTCGTTTCCCACGCCCCTGGTAGTTTTCTCTTATAGTGACTTGAATGGTAAGTGAGCGAGGCCATGTTTGGAGAACAATGCGGCGATGATGCACGCACGGTCCCGAGGTTTTAGCGTGCATCTCGTGAACTTTTGCGGGGAGCTCAACTCACCACCGACGCACACGCTTCGACGTTCGACATAACCATTCGCACAATCATGGCCACCTCAAACCGAGGTCCTCCTGGAACTGTCGCTGTGTCAAAGGAGGGTATTCCCAACCGAACGTAAGTGTAGATATTACGGCCTCCGTACTCCCAGAGGCACTTTGTATACAGCTCATTAATGTCATGTAGTCTTTATGTTCGTGGTCTCCCAGACAGGCTGCCAAAAGAAGACCTCAAGCGGAACCTGTATATGCTGTTCGCGACCTATGGCGTTCTCTTGGATGTGGTAGCCATGAAGACCATGAAGATGCGAGGACAGGCACATATCGTCTTCCGTGACCTCGATGCTGCGACTCAAGCCATGCGCGCGCTCCAAGGCTTCACATTTTTCGGCAAAGATATGGTATGTCTCACGCTACAAGGTCACCTATGGATAAGCGCTGATATCGCGACAGCAAATCGCCTACGCAAAAACGAAGTCTGACACCGTAGCGAAACTCGAAGGAACGTTCGAGCTACCAGAACCCGAGCGCGAAGACGAGCCTGAACAGGCTGCCGTACAAACAACAGGTTTTGGTGCTGCACCAGCTAAAGCAGTCCCCGTTAATGCGCAAGATGCTGCAAAGGGGCAGAAGAGGGCTCGTGACGAGGAGGAAGAAGAAGAAGAAGAAGAAGAGGAGGATGAGGATGCAGAGATGGAGATGGACAGTGATTCAGATTGAGAAATGATGGAGTAGAATCGGAAGGGAACGTAATACCCAGAAGAGCCACGCGAGGAGTGCTCGTAGTGGCCCAGCCAAGTCATGTCATTTGGATGAATATATACAGCAGGATGTATGCAATGCCGCATGAGCAGTTGGTGGGACCGACGCTGACAATATGCAGAGATTTGAGTTTACAAGGCAGCTCCGTATCCAGCCTCAAAGTTGCTTTGGGGGCTCGATGTATTAGGGCTTGAATGCAGGCCGAGGAAAAGATAACATGGTTACTGGATCAATGAATACCAGGGCATATTTCAATGAACAAAAGCACTTCAAGCCGTTCATAATTTGACTGATTGTTCCTCACTACCTGCAGATAGGTAAAATTACAAATACAGAAACCGGCGTATACATAAAGAAACATGAAAAAAAGAACGTATCTCTGGCGACTCGGAGAATCGAACTCCGGCTTCAACAGCTATTGCAGAACAACCACAATGTTGCGTCCGACCCCTAGACTAAGTCACCTTGGTAGTCTTATTAGGAGATTTCGGGGGTCACTTGAGATACGTAGCGTACAAAACTCCCCGATGAGGGCCAAGGAAGAGCAGCAACATCATTCTTCGAAGATGTAGATTAGGGAGATCATGAAAGTGATTGCATTTGCTAAGAAAGGTGATAGCGAGCTATACATGCTTCAAGAACTGTGGAACAGCAAAGCATAACACTGCAATGGAACTTGTAGACTCGATATCGCGAACGTACAGCTATGGGCGTTGAGGATGAGATTTGGACTACTCTCGCATGCAATGCTTGTAAATACATCCAAGGCGATAACAAGTCACATCGCATCGTAAGTCGCGCACCACGAAGGATAAGTTACCTTGTGGTTATACTATGTAGCATCAAAGTACTTATGCCTGACCGTGTATTGGGAAAGAAAGCAAGTACGTAATGTACACTCTTGGCCAAGGACGACAGCATGCATGTGAACACAGCATGAGAAGGTAGTCACAAATCGAGATACACATAACTTACCGTATGCAAGCCATTCAACACAAGTCGCATGTCCTATTGCTCGACAGCAATGTCTGGAGCACCACGAGGATACATCTGAAAGCAGAAACAAACGTGCTTGAGCACTGACTGAATGCTAGACAATATACTAGAGTTGTCTCTATGCAGAATGGGCTCGTCTCACATGTCATCAGATTTGGTTGAAGACTGGCACATCGTTTCGCATCGCTTCGTCACGTAACCACGACCGCGGCGCAAAAGCTCTTTAATATCTGCGATACAGGCTATGCAGAAACGTTTGCAATAATGCTCCAGTACTGCGACAGTATGTACGACCAATCATTGCGCTCTCTTCCATTGCTCGAAAGCCAAAGAAACCGCACCCAAGATCAGCCACTGGTGTCTCGTCTCCACTTCACAGACGGTTTTCGTTCTCATGGAAACCTCACACCGCCACGTGGACGACGGGTCTCTCCATAGAAAATGCTTTATAGTGAGTGTTTTGAATTTGCGTTGTTCAATAATGAAGGAGAAAGGAGAGGCGCGCGCAAAGAAAGTTTTATGCGGTTCGGCGGACGGCGGATCAGAAACGCCGATTGGCCGATTGGCCGTGCGATGTGCCCCGCGAACTTTCCTTGAGTCAACGCCCGCCATTTTGCGTGCGTGTGGGAATCGATATCGAGAGCTGCAGACACCGTCTTCGCAACACCCCCATCCGCGCAAATTCGGACACTCGAGCCTAGAGATATCTAGCCACAGAAGCAACCAGCACATCATCCTCGAACAACCACCCAGCATGGAGTCCGAGTCCGACCACGACCACCGCGATGACGAGAGCGTGTCTGAGCAGGAGGAGATTGAGGACACGAAGCCAAAGTCGGCGCTGAAGAAGACGAAAGATGTACTCCCGCCTGTAGAGCGCCCCGAACTCCCGTAAGGCATCGATTGGAAATGTGTCCAAACTGGCATGGCTGACACTTCACTCAAGAGAGCAACCAGAACCAAGCACAATAGACTTTTCGACGCTGAACCCACTGTCACCTGAAATCATCTCGCGGCAAGCGACTATCAACATTGGAACTATTGGCCACGTCGCTCACGGAAAGAGTACCGTAGTCAAAGCCATCTCAGGTGTGCAGACGGTCCGCTTCAAGAACGAGCTCGAGCGAAATATCACCATCAAACTCGGTTACGCAAACGCAAAGATTTACCAGTGCGACAACTCCGAATGCCCGCGCCCAACATGCTACCGGTCGTACAAGAGCGAGAAGGAGGTTGACCCACCTTGCGAGCGTGACGGCTGCGGAGGCAAATATAGGCTGAAGCGCCATGTGTCGTTCGTTGACTGCCCTGGTCACGACATTCTCATGAGCACTATGTTGTCAGGCGCCGCCGTCATGGATGCTGCGCTGCTTCTCATTGCTGGCAACGAATCCTGCCCGCAACCGCAGACCAGCGAGCATCTTGCTGCCATCGAGATCATGAAGTTGAACCACATCATTATCCTCCAAAACAAGGTCGACCTGATGCGGGAAGATAGCGCCGCGTCGCACTACGAGTCCATCCTGAAGTTCATCCGCGGAACTGTTGCCGACGGATCTCCCATTATCCCCATTTCTGCTCAGCTGAAGTTCAACATCGACTCCATCAACGAACATCTCATCACCAAGATCCCCGTGCCCGTAAGGGACTTCTCCGCCAAGCCACACATGATCGTTATTCGATCATTCGACGTCAACAAGCCAGGTGCTGAGATCGACGAGTTGAAGGGTGGTGTTGCTGGTGGCAGTATCTTGACTGGTGTGCTCAAGCTGGGTGACGAAATTGAGATCAGGCCCGGTATCGTGTCAAAGGACAGTGCAGGCAAGATTCAGTGCAAGCCCATCTTCTCAAGAGTAGTGTCTCTGTTTGCAGAGCACAACGACCTGAAATTCGCCGTACCTGGAGGTTTGATCGGTGTAGGAACCCGCGTTGACCCAACACTCTGCCGTGCCGATCGTCTCGTCGGTTTCGTTCTGGGTCTCCGTGGACATCTGCCAAACATTTACACCGAGCTCGAGGTCAACTACTTCCTTCTCCGAAGATTGCTTGGTGTAAAGACTGCGGATGGTAAGCAGGCAAAGGTTGCCAAGCTTGCGAAGAACGAAGTATTGGTACGTTGTGATATGCACTCCTGATGACATGACGCTGAGCTAATATGCTATCAGATGGTCAACATTGGTTCCACTGCCACAGGTGCCAAGGTTGTCGCCGTGAAGGCTGACGCTGCCCGTTTGTCGCTTACGTCTCCCGCATGTACAGAGATTGGAGAGAAGGTTGCCCTTTCGAGACGTATTGAGAAGCATTGGCGACTTATTGGATGGGCCAACATCGTGGCGTAAGTGTTACAACAGTCTGACTGCAGGCGCTGCTAACAACATGCAGTGGAAACATTCTAGAGCCAATCGTCGACTGAACAAGCCGTCAACAAAATCCTTCACAAGCTGAGGATTTGCTGTGACGATGAGACTATTCGAGACGGCAAGATCTTGTGCATTACGTTCTTGAGCATTTTCCAGCAGGAGTCGGGCGGCATGTGAAGATAGACTCAAAAAGGTTCCCTTGCGATCACGATCTAGAGACATTTCGAGGTCAGGAAGCTATAGTCCGATATGGCCAGCATTGGTTGGAGATGGCGTGCTTTTCGTGAGAGCACACCCTCTAGCAAAGTAGGCACAGTAGAAATTACAACGAGAATCACATGTACCGATTTCAAAAGTGTTGAGACAACGGGTGGCTACGGAGTGATCGACATAGGTGCAGGGGAGAGCCGACTTTCACATGAAAGCCAAAGTGGCACAACGTCAGACCATCTTACTAGCCTACTTCTGCCCTCGAGTCCCCTCACTCCCATATTGCTTCGTGTCCAGTTTTGCAACCTCTCGGCTTTTTCCCATACCAGGTAGGCTTGCGAATTGTCCGAGGCGTATATCGTACTCGTATTGGGCCAAGCGATGATTGTCCACGTGCACTGACCTCACATAGAGTTTCCGATCTACCTTCCATTCCAGCTACTGCAACAATTTACGAGCACAAGACCGAGTTGCTCGATTCTTTCTTGCGCTTTTCTCTCTTCATTCCTTGAACACACATTCTCTTCTCTCTATATGACATTGTAATACCCCCAAACCGCAAGAGTTGCGACTTCCACGAGTTTGGTTGCACCGGCACGCGCATCACTTGCTCGGAAACGGAAGTCAGACGCGAAAGACGACCATGGCAGACGACGAGTTCGCACCGTCCAACGCTGCACAATCACCACCACACATTCATCGTCCGGTCCCACGGCGGACGTTTGACAGCGCATCCTTCAACGAATCTGCAGATTCACCTACACACGATTTCTCGCAAGCGACACCCCCGAGCGCAAACGAGACTCGACGGTCGAGTGACTTTCTCTCGCAGCTCAACGCCCGCTTGCTGCGGACGTATAACTCGCGCAACGAGGATGCGGACGAGGAGGAGAGGGAGCAGGGGCTCCCGTCGCGCAATAAGAGCTTCTTGAATATGACAAGCAGCACGCTGTTCGGCATCTACGACGATGTAGGGTCGAGCGCAGCGAGTATAGCGGAGACGCCGTGGGGTACGGGCGCGGAGACACCGGCACATACGGGCATGGGGCATATGACCTGGGATAGTGGGCTAGGTAGTCCGGATGCTGGAATGAGCATAAAGACCCAGGCGCGGAGGGGGATACAGAGTGGCGCAGCGGATGGGAAGAGGAAGACACATTCGCCACGCCGCTCGAGGCCTGTGGTTGTGCGACATGCAGTTACGGGGAGCAAGCTGGCAGCACTGTTCTTGTTCGGAGTCGTGTACGGGCTTATTGTGTCGCATTTACACGATACCAGACAACTCTCGGCAGTGCATGTTGAGGGCATGGATGGTGGGAGTTGGATCTACTTGGCGAGTTGGGGCTTCTTTGGCGTTGCGCTGGGAAGTCTACTCCCTTATGTTGACTTTGCATGGAGCGGCCATACCACTGCTGATGCAGTCGAGGAGAATGATAATGAAAAGGATGGACACCCACCAATGAGCGAGCAGATCAACGACGTAGTTCGAAGCGTGGCTGCTTTCGTGGGAATCGCTTTTGCCATTGTAAGTCCTTTGCCAACGCCAAATACCACACACCCAGAAAGACTAACATTCACCCCCTAGCGCCGTCTGCCCTGGCAATCTACCCTCCAACTAACCCTCACCCTCGCCCTCGTCAACCCCGCTCTATGGTACATCCTCGACCGCTCCAAGCCCGGGCTCTCCTGCTCTCTCATCGTAACCTCGATCCTCACATCCTTCATCTTCCTCTCCAACCCAGATGTTTTGCCATCGCCGTCTTTCCCGGCTACGGCGAACACCACGCATTCAGCATCGGCAGGAAGTAACAACAACAACGCCGCCCTCGCAGGCAGATCGTCCCCGTCGAGTACGGGCGAAGAACTGTTCGCCGGTGTGGTCAGCTACGATAACCTAGC